ATCTTTGCTCCACTTTCGTTACACGATAATGAGCAAAGAGGGGCAGCTGAAGACACCAAATTTTGACCAATTAATATTGTTATATATTATATACAATAATGTTTACATCCGATTGGTAGCCCAGTAGTGACTAGTAACACGTGGCCCAACAATGGCCCGAAGTGAAGCACTTGAACCGGTCTGCTTGTATTTCCGTCTGAACCGGGTCCAAATTGAACCGTTGAACTAGGGTTTGGAAACCCTAGTTCCTCCTCACTTTGTCTCCTGACTGAGCGCCGCAGCCCCAAAGGTCCCACGACCAAATTCCTCGATCAACAGCCCCCACGAGTCTTCGCCATACACGCCTCTATCCCATGCTTCTCGGCAACAGACCACCATCGTGGATGTTTAGGACACCAAAATAGCAAATAACAAGTGTTTTAGTCCAAACAAACCTCTGAAAATTCGGAACTAGAGATAGCATTATTATGTGTATAAATACCCATGTAATCAACGATATCAGGGGATACCAGAAATGATCACACAATTACACACGAAATATTACGGAGAGATTACTGCGAATACACACAGAAAGTCACCATAGCAAGCACAAAGAAAGTCAGAACACTTGTACAACATTTCGAAACAAGAAATAAAAGCGAGGTATATTAGTTGTTTACCTTTTCGTTCGCTTGATCCTTTGCACGTCAAATTTATCGTCCATCGTGTTGTTTTGAGTTGAAAGTAAAAAAATCTTTTGGCCGATGAAAAGGTGTTTTCGTTCGAGATCGTTTGTATAGATCTACGAAAACCCGAGGCCTTTTTTTGAAAAACCAACTTGATTTTCAAAACGAGGAGAAGAAAAGCATTCGGAAAAGTAAAAAATCTTTTGATTTTGCCGCCGATGAACGGCGGCCGTCGCCGTTCAACGGCGACGGCGTAGGGCGGTCGGTTTCTGGATTCTTGAAGAATCCGGCCGTGTTCTTATTTTTTGAAGAACACTTGAGAGTGTTTTTCAGAGAGGGGGAGGAGAGCTTTGATTTGTGAGGAGAGAAATGAAACTAAAAAATGTTTGAGTCATATGTTAAACCCGTTCCAGCTTATGCCCGACCCGATGAACCTCGGACCCGCGTGTTTTTGCAAGAAGCGAGAGATTTGCGTTTTGGTTCTCCAGTTTCAAAAACACTTAATTTGGTCATCTGAATCGATTATTGAACCTGAAATCCTTGTAAATTGACCCTTGAGTTTATTTTGTTTTCAATTTAATCCCTACTATTATTATATACTATATTTTCATTATTATTATATTTTACTCCCTTATTTATATATATGCGTTTTGGTTCTCCAGTTTCAAAAACGTTTAATTTGGTCCTCTGAATCGATTATTGAACCTGAAATCCTTGTAAATTGACCCTTGAGTTTATTTCGTTTTCAATTTAATCCCTATTATTATTATATACTATATTTTCATTATTATTATATTTTACTCCCTTATTTATATATATATATCTTATGTATATTTTTATTTTATTTTATTATATTTATATATATATATACCCATATATATATATATATATATACATAACTATAATTATTTTAAGTATTATTGATGGCGTATAAATGTATATTTTTTTCTTTTATTATTATATGTATATTCTTTATTTTTTTCGTTTACTTTATTTATTTTTATTCTATTGCGTTTCCTTTTTATTTAATACATGTTTTATTTGTATTCCTTTGTTTTTAGATAGTTTTCATTTCTTTGTTTGTATGTTTTTTTGCTCTTCATGCATATATGTATATATACATTTATTTAGTATTTTTTTTCCTTTATCTATCTTATTTATCATTAGTTTATTTGTATTGTCTCCTCTTATTTGTATCATTGGTTTTGTGGTTGTTATATCGTATTTATTTTCACCCCTCCAAACGTAACGTTTTTTTTTAAATGGTCTTCATTCAATTAATCAAGGGTAAGTAATTTTGGATCGTTATTTTACCTTTTAATTTAGATTTATAACTTTCTTAATTAAAGACAACTGGAAATTATGTAGTACCGAAAGGGCAGTTCAAGGATGCTAACCCTTCCTTGACTGTAACCGACTCCCGAATCCGAAACATCTTTGGTAAGACGCAGATCAGGTAAGAAATAAGGTATCCGATGTACCTATTTATTTTTAAATAAATGATCGGTGGCGACTCCAATCTACATTTTTCAAGTCGAAGCCCAATTCCGGGCCCAACCGAAAGACGGTTACGACAAACCTTAAGCATTAAAGTAAAATAATTTATTTATTATTATACCAAATATTGATATTAATACATAAGACCTAGACAAAGAGATCAATGAAAAGTCTCCTCCAACGGCATCGGTCCACAGTTCTCAAGTCACCTGTACCTACATCAGTCTTCTTCGAGGCCCCTAGTTAGCCCGTCGAGAAAGGGAGAAGGACCTGATGGAGAAGGCTCAAAATCACTCCGTCTAAAAAGCTTTTTCATCTCCTCGTAACAATCTTATTTATGAACGGTTGTTTAATTCGAAATCAGTAGATTTTGATCTGACATAATTTTATAAGAGCAATTTTTTTTAAAAAAATTATAAGTTTAGATCATGCCAGATTTTATAGTAGGTCGGGTCAAGTTTAAATTTGAATTTAGAATAAAAAATCTCTAACATTGTTAGATATATGGTAATTTCTTCTATAAATTTAAGGATAATTTCTATAATACCCATGTATTTATAGTACCGAATAAAAATCAGGTTAGGATGGGTCCAATCAGTTTGAATGTGAGTTTTACTCTAACAAAAAAATCAAGTTGGCCAGTTTCGGATTGAGGGAATATGCTCCTTAAGTCGGGCCAGGTCGGATAAAACAATGTAGGCTTCTTGAGTCAGATTGAGTTTGAATATATATTGTATATACTTTTCAGATCGGATCGAATTAAATTGACTAAAAATCTTACGAACTCGTCCCATTAACATCTCTAATCTTACCCTCGATATACATATTGTATGCAATTCTTAATCTAAATTTAGATAGTGGTTCGTTATCATTTACTAATTTTGTTTATATTATATTTTAATTTAAAATGATAAATTTTAAGTTGAATCACATTAATTATAAAATTATTAAATATTAATAAAATACATTAAAGATGGCTTTGAATTAGTTTCCAAGTTGAAGCAAATTCAACCGAGTTTGGTAAACTTTATTTTATTATTATTTAGATTAGTGTGATCCAATAAAAAAATGCCTAATAAGATAGAAGCTTACCACTTGCACCTTCTTAGGTCACATGCGCGAAACCAAACTGCCCATTTAAGGTGAAAGTGCATTTTCATAAAATTTAATATTTTTAATGAGTTTAACTAACACCTCCAAATATTCCAAACCTCAAGAACAAAAAACCTCGAGATAAATTTATTATTATTTTATTGGGTTAAAATAAATCCGCGGATCATTAAGTTGTATTTAAGTAATTATTTTAGTCGTTAAACTTTTAAAAATTATAAAATAATTATTAAATTATTTGAATGATTATAAAATATTTGAAACCGAAAGAAACGTCCACGCTGTATTTAATGATGTAAAAAGGGGGGAAATTGAACTCCAAAATGGAGTCGGTCAGTTTTCAACAACCTTAGCATTTCAGTGGTCGTAATTTGAAGTCCAAATTCAGTATTAATAATTTGTTTTAATATTCCAGGTTTGGAATTAAGTTTAAGACTCACCAACCAAGGTAGACAGTTTGAAATTGTAATTAAAGAAGCCGATAGAGAAGCCAACAAAGCTCGAAGCCGAGGGAGGACGTCGACTCGGTTCGTGGAGCAGACAAGATGATGTGACAACCACAACACAAATAAATGGGTGCATGCAGAAATTTTATGGATAAACTATTTGTTTACTGACTTTGTTTTCGTTGTATTCGGTTTTGGGCTTCTAATTATAAAATTCCCACTCTGATATATATATATATATATTTGGTTGTTATGGATAAACTATTTGTTTACTGACTTTGTTTTCGTTGTATTCGGTTTTTGTCTTACAAATCGAAGTGATGGGAGATCAAGAAGGAGAAGAAAAGTATTATAACTGATTATACACTGACTAGACAATGAAGATTGTAGATCGAAACAAAATAAAGTTGAAACTCTAATTTAATTTTGATTGATTTTGAAGAAAATCAAACTAAAAAAAAGGAAGGAAAGGGGAGTGTTTCGATACAAGTTACATGACAAAAGACAACGATGGCGGTTGAATGATGATTAAAAAAAATGTTAACCGTCGAATGATGATAGAGAAAGATGTCAATTATGGAAAAGAAAAAAAATCAAATATTATATTAATTTCATAAATAAAAAGACTCCAAAAATACAATGTTTTGATGTTAATATTAAACAATTAACAATTGATTGAGATAAATTAGTAAGATTCGAGAGTTTATGATAAAATTATAAGAAGATCAAAACATAATCACAATATATATTGACGTTTGCATGCAGAATTACTGTGGGAAAGAGCATAAAAGTATTTTTTTAAGGTGTTTTTTTTTATGTAAATGCAGTGTATTTCCATTAGAGAAAAAAATGTAAACGTAAAAAATAGTAAAATTATTATTTACAGTTTCTGAAGAATTACTGTGGGCTTTAGAGAAGGGCGGGCTTACTGCATTTTGAAGGCATTGCCGAATATTAAAAGGAACTATAATGGGCAAGGACACCGTAAAGGGTTGCCCATTCCAAAAGGAAGGGAAAAAATCGAAAATTATAAAAATGCGGTGAGCGTGGATCGAACACGCGACCTTCAGATCTTCAGTCTGACGCTCTCCAAACTGAGCTATCCCCGCTCTTTGCTAAATTAATCAAATGTATATTAATAATCATGATTCCAATATCCACATATACCCTAGAACACAAGAACGTAAAGTGTGTCCTCTTTATTTTAATCAGAAAGAAATATGATACAACAAAATATTGCTATAAAATGACAAATCCAAAAACATAAAGTAACAATTGATTTATTAAAAGAAACTAGAACTTTAATCAATATCGCAATTAATCCAAAGCGGTTCATCAAATGCACCAGTAAGTTTAACTCCAACATCATTCTTGAAGCATAAACGTCCAATATCAAGTTCACTCCCAGAATGCCACGTAGGCGTTCCGTTCTCATATTCATCATACGTAATCCTCCTCAATCCTGACCCGTCTAACTTCACCACATACAAATCTCCATACGGTTGGTATTGGTTCGGACACGAAATCGGCTCAACCGTTACGCCACCTATGTTTGCGGCAAAAACCAGCCACTCTCCATTCGGACTAAAAAACACGTGGTTGATCCTCTCCCTGTCCACGATGCTCGAACCTTTCGGCCCAGCCACATAAATTCTCCTCAGATCAGAGCCGTCGGGTTTGATTACGTAAATGCTGAAGGCATCCACGTTATTCGGATTATGCATGATGGATGAAAACGCTATGAGATCGCCGTTAGGGGACCAACAAGGCATCGTATCAATCCAAGGGCCGTCAGTTAATTTGCGTATACCACCGTTGAATTCACCGTTAACGGCGTCGAGGACATATAAGTTCTTATGTCCAGAACGGCCGGAACGAAACACGAGGGACTTCCCGTCGGGAGAGCAGGACGGGAAGGCGTTATTCCCCGTATCTTCTCGCGTGAGAATCTTTACATCGCATTGAATTTCTTCGAGATCGTCGTTGAGATCAGAAGAATCAAATTTGATTCGGGCGATCTGGACAGTTGTTTTAACTGACTCGAATATCGGACCCAAAGAAGAGTAAATAACGTATCTTTCGGTTGAGCTCCACGTGTTATAAAATGCCACGCGGGACTTGATCAAGCTCCATCGTTTTGAGCCGTCCGATTTCACAACTTTAATGCCGCCATTTTCATCCAAAGCAGGGTTCAAGGCAGGGAAACTACCGTCGGGACTGAAAGAAGGAAATGATCCGTTGCTTCTGAGCATGCGTAGATCTTTTATCGGAGACGCAACTGGGTCGAGATGTGGAACCGTCGACTCGCCCTCAACCGATTCACCTCTGAATCTATGGTATCGAGTGTCTCAGAATCGGGAGAGACAAAGGGATTATAATGATGAAAATTCGGGTTCAACAGCTCAGTCACCGGGCGGAAAGCTTTCAATTCGAGATCGAATACCTCGATATGTCTGAAACGCTTGCCGCGCCGCCGCGTCGCGACAGCAATTCGTTTTCCGTCGTGGAAGGCGGCCGGAGTGAAGCAGTGGAGTCCAGGTGGAGTGACACGGAGAGGAAGGACTGGGAAGTCAGACAATTCAAGAGAATTTTCTGCAAATTCGAACCGGAAAATGCTCCACCAGCCATCTGCAGCTTGGCGGTGAAAGAAAATGGTTGAGTCACCAGACCAAGTGGGCCAACCGCCTCTCTCGCATACAACCCAACGCTTCTCCGGATCGGACGATGGAAACACAACAATATCCGTTTTCAGCTCGTGAAAGTCACCTTCCCAAGGACGAGAACCATACGATGCAACGGCTACAAATGTCCCAGATTTCGAAATAGCAGGGCTATAATCAACAAACCCGTGTGGATATAATCGCGTAATGTTTCCTTTACATTGGAGGTCGGTCGAGTAAAGGGATGACCATCTCTTGAAAGGTTGATCAGCTGTTCATGAGCTGAAATGAAGTAAAGGCGGTGGCTTTTGATGATAGGTCGATCGTGGAAGAGACTGTAGGGGGCAGATGGCAGCTTCTCGGGTTTGGGTACTCCCGGTCGGGTGAGGTAAATCTGGGGGGAACCCGACCGTTCAGAGATAAAGACGATAGATTGATCTTCGTTCACAAATTGAGCGTTGTAGTTGACGGAAATACCGTCAGTGAGGCGGTGTACAGAAGTGGAACTTGTGATGGGAGTTTGAGTAAGATTGACGGTGAAGATGTCGAACCCATACTGCGGCCTCCCGACGGAGGTGAAAACAATAGTGCCTTTGGGGTCCATTGATGTGTGCGTGGGAAGAGTGAGAGTGAATGATTTCTTATCTACCAAAAAGTGATGGTGTGGATGAAGAAAAGGCGATAAAGATCGTGGGGTTGTTTACTTGCATGCGTCGGAGCTGACGCAGCATCGATTGTCTTATATGCCCTTTATTTCATTTTATCTGTTCAAAGCTTTTTCTTATCATTTTGATTCTTTAAATCTCGACTCCATTTGTAAATTACCTTTACCATGATGAAAAGATGATAAGTAAAATTTACCAGAAACATAAGATGCCAAGTTAAAAGCGTATGTTTGGTCTAATGACAAAAAACGATTAGTACATCTGCATTGCGGTTTAACATGGAAGCCAAACGCGGTCTTACGCTTGGATCATATGTCCATTGTCTAATACTTGAGAACAACTCTCTAAAAAAAATTGTATTATCTAATTAATATTTTTTTTTATTTTTAAAGATTAACAATTAAAACGATAATGAAGGCAAACATAAGAGATTTAAGAAGTTATTATGTAATTTTTAACAGTTTGATGCGATTATAAGATAATATATGGTTTGATTTTTTTAGTTATTAATAACATATACACACTTTACAAATGTAACTACTCGAACTTTAGAGATAAACAACAGTCATTTTTTTCTTTGAAACCACTTAATTGAATAAAATAAATAAATAAAAAATTTCAAATAACAAATAGTAAAAAAATCAATATAATTAAATTAAAATATGGAAACTAAATCAGGAATTTTGAAATAATACAAGATCATTGGCATATTTAAACCAAATATATGTGGATTTTGCTTTACAACTAGATTGGGCCTCTCGGCATGATCAATGACTCAATTAGTAGTCCACGAAAAGCCCAAACCTAAAAAGAGGATGGGCAGTTACGTACTTTCAATCTCCACCCCAACGTCCCTCAAAACCCTATTCACACATTCTCACCCTCAGTCATCTCCCATTTTGAAACCCTAGCCGAAACCCCAAATTTCCTCTGCATCGTCACCCAACATCAAGATGCAGATCTTCGTCAAAACCCTAACGGGGAAGACAATAACCCTAGAGGTCGAGTCTTCCGACACAATCGACAATGTCAAGGCCAAGATCCAGGACAAGGAAGGCATCCCACCTGACCAACAGCGTCTCATCTTCGCCGGAAAGCAGCTCGAAGACGGCCGCACCTTGGCCGACTACAACATCCAAAAGGAATCCACCCTCCACCTCGTCCTCCGTCTCAGGGGCGGCGCCAAGAAGAGGAAGAAGAAGACCTACACCAAACCCAAGAAGATCAAGCACAAGAAGAAGAAGGTCAAGCTCGCCGTTCTCCAGTTCTACAAGGTGGATGAGTCCGGGAAGGTCCAGAGGCTGAGGAAAGAGTGCCCTAATGCGGAGTGTGGGGCCGGGACTTTCATGGCTAATCATTTTGATAGGCACTATTGCGGTAAGTGTGGGCTAACTTACGTTTATCAGAAGGCTGGTGGGGATTAAGTAGGCTTATTTTCCACCTCCACAATGGATCAACAGTTTCCTTTTATCAGTATGAAACTTTGAATAGTATTAATTTTCAATAATTGTTGGTCCTTTTTCATTATTTTCCATGTTATGATACTTTGGATATGATTTTCGTGCTTTGATTACCAATTTAGCTGTTTAATCATATTATGCGCTTTCCTACTCTTTTGTTTGTTGATTGACATGCGATGATTCTTTTGTATATGTTTCAATGCTTTATATATATGCTACTTTGGGCTCTGTTGGATTGGTGTTTCATTAAAATTTGTTTTCTTCCCAAAAACCATTAATCATTTTTATCCTGTTCAAGATTATTAATATTTCCTACCTTTGTCTAGTATTATTTGAAAGTTTAAGGATGGGAAAGTGTTATTATTAGACTAGACTTCGTGCTGTTGAATTGGTGTTTCCCATGGCTGGTGTACCATTTACATGCTACGTATGTTATGGGGTTTAGCATTGTAGTATTGTTGCATTGTTGAGCACTTAATTATGGAGAGCGGTTGAGTCGCCTAGGGATATCACCAACCGAAGTATGGTCGTTTTGTTTTGTAATTTTGATCTTATTTACTTCAAATTTAGAAGCTCTGAATTGCATTTTAGAGCTGAGACTTGTTAGACCCGACTCCCGAGTCATCTTCTTGGCTTGTTAATTCTCTCTCAACTCCCTACGGCCCTACCTTTGACAAATTTCGGATTTAATTCGTAAAGCAGATGCTGTTTTGCGCTACAAAACTTGGGAATACATTTTCCAGAAATATTTCAGTTTTCGAACATTTGAAATCCTGCAATGATATGTCTCTTTGTGAATGCCAAGTATCAATGCCTTGCTGTAGGATATGACTTATGGGCACTAGATAAATAGTACCACCTGTTAAAAGGTACACCTGATGTCCATGTCTATTCGACTTTTCGCAACAATCCGAATTTCTGATTAATGCGGTGTACTCAGATGCACATTAATCTTTTAAGCAATATTGTGTTGAAATTTTGAAATTATAATTATTTTTTATTTTAATCAAATTTGTGGTATATTATAAAATTATTAATTTAATCTTGATTGATATTGGAATTCATCTCCTTCCTCTTATAAAAAATTCCTTATAATATCCATAAAGTAGAATAAACCTATTTTTATCTAAAACCATTTTATGGTAATATTGATTTCTTCTTTATTTTTCTAAAGTATAAATATTCAACGTATATTCAGTTCGGGTATAAAAATATGATATCCGAAGAATATTTTAAATTAATTTTGAAAAGAATTTTTTTTTAAAGAATTTTGGAAATATTTTGATTACTGTACATAATATATTGGATTTCAATGGTAGAAGGCTTGCACGATCAGCAAACCAGTACTTTATTTCTTCCTTTTCCAGTCGTGCGTTTTAGAAATCTTCGTTTTGGAAAGGACTGAACGCATCAAAGGAAGACAAAGCAGGTGCTAAAGAACTAAAGAAGATTATTACATTAGTCGACTGTTTAGAGAACAAGTGGTTAAAAGTTTTTAGTTGTCGTTCTCTTCTAAATTGTGGATTTAATATCTATTAAAAGTAGCAGATAGGAATTATTCAAAAAAAAAATTATTTTACCATTTTTTCTTATTTTTTGAATTGAAAAAAAACTAAGGGGTTGTTTGTTTACCTCTTAATGGAATCATTCAGCATTGAATGTTGAATCGTTCATCATTCAGCGCGTTTGTTTCGTACCTCTGAATGATTCAGTGCTGATTGATTTAACAAAACAGTGCTGATTGATTTAACAAAATAGTGCTGAATGATTCAGAACAGAAGTACAAACTGAATGATTCAAAGCCATTATCAAACAACATGTCACATTCAAAGTTAATTCATACAGAGCCTCTGAATCATTCAACATTTGAATCATTCAACATTTGAATCATTCAGCGTTTAATCATTATGAAATAAACAAACAACCCCTAAGTCTGCGTTGCAACTCGGGTTGTTCTGAGGAAGCATCTGCAGAGAGGAGAGCCATAATTTCATCCGGAGGGAGAGTATACTGCACCAGATTAAAATGGTGAACCGGAGCAAGTTTGGCCATCAGGTCAGCCACCTTATTGCTAGCTCAAGGGATCCACTTGAAACGTACCACCCAACCATTAGCAGAAAGACGTAATCGCTCGACCAAGGGGAAGCTGGCTCGGATCAGGATTGTCCTCCGACAGCAGCTTAATTGCTAGAGAGCTATCCGATTGCACTAGGAGATGGGAACAGCCAGTGTTCTGAGTAAGGAGGAGACCCTCATAAATCCCTCACAGTTCGGATTGTAGAACAGGGCTAATACCAATACCTTTGCTGAAGCTAGAGATCCAAACCCCCGTCCGAGTTACGAATAACACCTCCAAATCGACCCATTCCCGAACCATGAGTCACCGCACTATCTGAATTCAAACAAAGCCATCCTATAGGAGGTTTTGGCCAAGGTTGAACCACTGCTCTTGATGTGACAGCATTCTTGGCTTCAGCTTAAGTTTCTGCCATCATTATTGGCACTGAAAATGCGTTGATTATGAATTCAATAAGTCTTGAATTAAGAAAAATCACTATATGAATTCTGATCATGATATCATTTATGATCTCAACTAATAAAAATTGTTATTTTATCAATTTTTGTTTTACGTCATTAATTTACTCAATAATTTTCAAGTAATAATCCATTTCTATATTTACGTGAAAAAAGTGAAGATTCATTATTAAAAAGGATTCCAGAGAAAGAAAAATAATAACATGGATGATTTTTATTAATTGAGACGTGATGAACACTACATGTACTGATTATAAAGAAAATGTACATGGAATGTACTGGTAAGGAAGTTAGATGACAAAGGTACCTTGAATGATAAAGATAACAACCATTACTATTGATATTATGAAACATTGTGATTAACCACTGTAAAACCTCCATCAACTGCCAAGTTCTGCCCACTGATGTAAACCGATTCATCCGAAGCAAGAAACAATACAGCCTCAGCAATATGTCTAGCCTTCAACACAATACCTTTCAAGTTGCCGGCAGAAACAATTAGCCTCTAATTCACTCGATTCCAGAGTGTAAGCTTTACAAGCAAGAGGCGTGGCAACTCCGAATGGAGAAACGCAATTCACTCTTATCCCGTAACCCCTAGCTTGCTACAAGCTCCTCGAACGAGCCCTACAATCACGTGTTTCGACGTAGTATAACCGATCTGACCGAGTCCTCCAACACATGATGCTGCACTTGCAGTGGATATGATTGATCCACGTGTGTTTTTATCCACCATGGCTCGAGCGGCATGCTGCACTTGCAGTGCATATGATTGTCGAAGTCGTCGATGTCAAACTCCAAGATACCGGTCATCTCATGACACCAGCATTGGTGAACAAAATGTCTAGTCTCCCGTACTTCTCCACCGTGTAACTCACCGTCTCCTCGACCTGCTTCTTGTCTCTTACATTGCAGTGGCGGTAACTAACCTTGTCTAGGCCTATTGATGCCCGACTCGATCCCCGAGATCATCCTGGACATCAGTTATAACAACAAAAGCGCCATGTTCAGCAAACAACTTAGCCGACTCCTCACCAATCCCGCTGGCGCCACCGGTAATAGCTACCTTGCCTTCGAACCTACAATATGTCAGACATACAACACAACGTATTACTCTCCATAAACACATTTGCAGCAATGGAGAAAGAAAAATAAAGATCTGGCATACCTTGGCTTTGACATCTCCGATTTGTGGTTTTGTGATCTTGTCTATTTATAATCTCAGGAATTGTCATGTATTATTATTTTAGAAATTTATTTGCAACAGGCAATAGTTTATTGCAGTTAAATACAATCAAAGTAGCATCTTCGCATGATTGCATAAAATATTAAACACCATTGGCTAGGAGTCTTTATCTTTGTCTTCACAGCAGGTTATGGTGGCTAGCAGGCCGCCAGTCAACACAATTTTTAAATTTTTTTTAGATAATGACTAAAGATGCTATATAAACATAATTTCCTTTTTCTACTACGTCAACTCTGATATTTTAAATCCGCTGGAAACAGGGACTTTGTTTGACATTGGTGATAGTGGAATAAACTAATAAAATTTAAAAAAAAATAATGAATTATCAATTAAAAATAAAAATAAAATATTTAAAATATATAATAATTTGAAATTTTCATAACACCATCTCCTTCAACTTCGCCCTTATCCATCTCTGATTACCCTTTTTTCACCTTCAATATATAAAAATTGTAAACAAGAATCTGATAATAAAATTTGTAAATAGAAGTGAAATCTCTGGAGGAACCTGACAAGGGAATCCAAGCCATTTGCCATTTCAGGTATTGGGTACCCTCTACTTCCCTTCTCCAGGTCACTATTGACTTCTTGTGCCGATGCAATGGCAATATAATTTATGATTTTAATTGCTCTGTCATTATTTAAAGGTATCAAGACAACAATAAAGATTTTTATGTTCACCAATTCAAAATCATGTTATTGTCTCTGTTCTTTTGCTTATTCACCAAATCAAGTGGTGTTTATGTTCTTATGCAGCCCATCCCTAATTAGAAAATTCAGTGGATATCTTCGGAAGGGCTTTGTAATAGGCAAGAAGAAATGGTCAAATTTGCATTTTTCTTTTAGAACTGTTTCTCTGTTTATTACTCATTGAAGCCAATTGAAGATTTATTTTGCAGTGTCAATAATCTTATGTTTTATATTTAACATGATTATGTCACTTGACCCTCCTTTACATGGCAGAGGTTCTGTTCGATTTTGTCCGAAAGGTCCCTCATCAGCAGACGCGAGATATTCTAGCCAAGCGATCTCAGTGGTTAAAGGAATTGTTGTTACCCATTGAGTTATCAAATTTGAACACGATAAAGTGTTTGAGCATTTATTGTCAAATGTAAAATATTCGAGTGTTCATTGTCCAATGATTAAATAACAGTAATCTATCATATAATATGTTCAGCTACTGCAACCTTTCATGGAAAATTTACCCAGACGAGGTACGGGTCGGTTTGCAAAATTTGCTAAAAGCTCAAACTCAACAAGATAATCATCTCATCTCGATGAGGTCAGTCATAGGACTTTGTGCTAATAATTGTTCACTGATTCACTGATGTGAAGATTCACCTAGATTCATCTCATTATCGATTGTATAAAGACAATGAAATAGTCATTTCTTGTATATATATATATATATATATATATATATATATTGTATGAAATAGTTATCTCAATATCGATTGTATGAACATCTTGTATATATATAGTCATTTCTTGTATATGTATATATATACTGTATGAACATCCTGTATCTATACATTCCCTCTTAACCCACCACAAATGTATCAAAACAAGTCCTGCAAAACTATTAGCTGCTTTTTGTAGCTCTAACTGAAGCAGTCAGAAACAGTACAATGATACCCTATTGGCAAGATTATCTAAAATATGGTATTTACATTCACTAAAATGTTTCTAATGCATTGGATCTTGCAATCGATCCCAAATTTAACGAGACTAAAGAGCTTGTTGATTTGGTTTTCGAGTATTTACATTCACTGATTGGCATTTAGTTCCAACAAACTCCTCAAGCTACATAGGGCTTCTGGTGAGAGACTGCAACCCTTGAATCTTCTTTGCTGAGGAGCTGGTTGCTCTCGGTTTTCGGGTGAAGAGAAGCATATAACGATCACAGTTAGATTATCGAACGAGTTGCGACGTAAGGCCTCCATGACAAGGTCTTTAGCACACTGCTCAGGGTCATCATGCCACTGAAAACCTCTGCGAACCAGGCTAACTGCGTTCTGACTTGTCATAACATCCCAAATCCCATCACACCCGATTATGAGGAACTCGTCATCCTCTGTAAGGACCATCTGCCGGAACTCAGGCTCTGCAATGAGAGGTGATGACGAGCCCTTTGGAAACTTCATGTCCCAATCCCCCAAGGCTCGGGAAACTGATAGAACACCGTTAAGATAACCATCAGCGATAAAACCACCAAGCTCTTCTACTCTCCTCTGTTCTGATGGATAAGTAGGCCTGTGGTCTTCAGACATATCTATTGCCTCCCCTTTTCGGCACAAAACCGCACGGCAATCACCAGCATTGGCCACCATTAGAAGCCTAAAGCACAGACAAATCAGACAGAGATTTAAAAGCCGAAAACAATACTCGGCACCGAACCGCGCGGCAATCACCAGCATTCGAGGCTATGAAGCATGAATATACCTTCCAAATATCAGAGCCGTAAGTGCTGTTGTCCCAGAAGAGCTATTCACAGTACAATCATCCGCAAGAGCTAGGTCAGCAAGAAGAAACGATTTCCGGAGCGAGTTCTCGACGCCTTCCGAGAATACATCATCAACTTCACACGTCCGGGGAAAATTGATCTCTTCAAAAAAGAACCTGAGTGCATGTTTCCTTATATACGCAGCAGCCTCAGGACCGCCATGACCATCAAACACCTGCATATGAGCAGAACTTCATTTACTACAAATCCTACAAGATCATCAGATTAAGACAGTAGCAACATTAGCCGAATAGTAATTACCCCATAAAAAGCACTAGGGTTTGGGAACTTGAAAACGGATCCCAAATGCGATGACAGATTATCTATTCTAATGTGTTCGTCTTCCATGTTTCTCCTCGGTCCGATGTCAGCGAAACTACCTGAACGGATGCTGGGGGAAAATTGCAGAATGGCGGATTCAATACATTGTTCCGGAACTTCTTCTAGAGATTTCACATCCTGAAATACGAAACAAAAGTATATCTTTCTCTTAAATTGAAATTACAGAAGCTAATACATTTACTAAAGCTTGCAAATTCAACAATTTCAACATCTCTTCTAAAAAAAATCTACGGAACCCAATTCCCAAAGCTATGTTACGAACATAAAAACTGGGTTTTTTTTTTGGGTTGGGGGGAGACTAACCATTTGAGAGCTTGATAACTCGGCCGAATCCGACTCAGTAACATGAACTTGTCCGAACACGGGTGACTTAATCGAGAGAGTTTCATCCATATCTTCGATCTTACTTCCTTTAACAAAAAAAGGAACCTCCGACGCCGGCAGGCTCTGGTGATCAACAACATTAGTTTCAGCTACCATAACCAAACACAGAATAAAAAGCATATAAAACTCAGATGAAAACGGTTTTTTTTCCTTGGGTAAGCAAAAAATATTGATCAAACTTGGGCTTAAATCGAAGTAAGAGATGGGGATGAACATGCAAGTAGCAACGGATTTAAAAGTTACTGTTGGTTGACACGTGTGAGAATGACAGCATTATGATTTTATTTTTTTGAAAAATTCGATCGATGACCTTCGTGGTGCAAATTCAAACGAGCTCTATAGGAAACAGAAATTTAATAACTTAAATTACTGGAATCGAAAAACAATCAAATTTATAAATCTTCAAATGAATCAAATCGATATTAAATGACACGTACATGTGCAATGTAAATGGAACTAGGAAGCAGCTTCGGCTTGACGGACACGTGAAAGATTTTTCAGTTTTTACGTAGACGCGTCACTCAGCTGCGTTGCTTCCTCCTAAAATGACCATTTCGTCCTTCATGTTTACAACACACACACACATATATGTATACTCAATTTTTTGGAGTTTAATTAAAAACATTTATATCGAAATAGATGTAATTAGCTTTCAATCATCAAAATGTAATTTTAAACACACTTATAAATTCAAAATTTTCAAAAAAAGAATATAATAATATGATAAGCTTATAGAATTTAATAAGATAATCTTAACATATATGATAAAAAGATGATAACAAACTATATATTTCTTTGATCATGTCTTAATAATAGAACATATCGTTGTATAGACAAAAACATCTATCAACTATAACCGGTATGGATTTTATGGTATGTAAACTATATTCAGAATTCAATACTACTATAGAATACTATACATAATATAATCAATCTACCATGATTTTCAATAGCACTTATAATATAACGATAAAGCATATGATTCACATATCTCACAATTCGAACATGTTTCAATTTAGTTTAAATCAAAATTTGAATTATAATTCACACAACATACAACATGTTCACTTGTTAACATAAAACATAACATATGAGAAAATTTCTATACAAAGTCCAATTCACGATCATAATACAAACTATCCTCCTTTTATGTTTGAGAAAAATTCTATACAATGTCCAATTCACGATCATAATACAAACTATCCTCCTTTTATGTTTGAGAAAAATTCTATACAATGTCTGATTTGCAACAATTGATGAACAAACAAACGTTATTCAATCACAGGTATTGGAGAAGGACGGTCGACCTTTCCTTTTATGGGCTTCAATTTCATTAGACGTAGGCAGGCAGCCCGTCTGCGTAAAACTGCGAAGGTTTCGATTTCAAGCATTTAAAAGCCTTGTTTTACCGACAGCAGGCTATTGAGTAGCGTTAACTGCGAGGATCTGCCGTCTGCTTTACACTCCCAAGTGCCCCAAAAACTCATCTTCTTCAAATCACCACCAAACATGGCTGCTGTAGCATCATCAAGCCTGATTTCTCCTCTTCATTCTCCTTCCCATGGTAAAAAAGACTATGACTGTCCTCCCATTTCTACTTCTTTTGTTCCCAGGTTTAGAGATTCCCATTTATCTAAGCCTAAACCTACACTGAAACGCTCAAGGAATGCTTCAGTTCTTCCTCTAATCAGAGCCCAAAACGCTCCTGGTATGGATGTTTAGCTTACTAAACAGCTACATAGCCTTTTCAGCTTTTATTCCACTCTATTTTTTTCTTCATTGGAATACATAGAAATGGGGTCCTCTAGATTTATTGGGTTTTTTTTTCTTTCCGTATTTCGATTGCTAGTTGATTATACCCCCGGCGCAGAATTTTATAAAGTTGAGGCGATTATAAGGTGTTCACTATTTTCTTTCTTAATAATTCTATATCATGGTTAGTCTGTTAGTTTATAGCATATCTGATTTAATTTGGGTTTCTTTTTATTTTGCCGGATCTTTGAACGGAATAGACCATGGCGAGTTCAGCAGGTTTCTTCGGTAAGAGCTACTATAACTTCATTAGTGATGTATTCATTCTCATTTGTTTCCAGGTTTTTTTTTGTTACTGTTTTTTAGTTGATGCTTGATAGTACTAAAATGTTGTGTAATTTCGACAATGTATGCTTAAAATTTGCACCTATGGTCCAGTTTTTAGCATACAAGTAGAGACTTTGAGCATTACTTTCTTAAATCTTGTTCAAGTTCAACCTCGAATCGTAAGCCTTGTAATGTTACTGAGGCATTATTCTAGTACTCTTCCATGTCAATGCAACGGTTATGCGGAATACTCTGGTCAATTTACTGTGTGCATTTCCATTGTTGCAAAAGATGAGCCGATTAAGCTTAATAAGTGTCTAAATGTCTCTTGGTTGATATCAGAACCGAGGTTTCTTTTTTTTAAACAACAATACTTGTTGTAGACTTGTAAGTTTTAAGCCTGGTTTAGTTTCTCCTCAAGCCATTGGCGTTACTCAGGAGATGGGTGAACCGATCAGTGTTTTGATCTAATTTTTAGTTTCTTTTCTTAAAAAAAAGGCTCTTCTTGAAATGGGTATTCGTGGTGTTACGGTCTTTGATGTTCGAGGCATTGGTGCTCAAGGTGGTTCAACAGAGAGACACGGAGGTAAGCTCTTGTTATATACGAGGGGCTGAAAGTTATTTTCTGATATTTGAGGAATTCAACAGTTTTTTAGTCCATTTCTCCACTTTTTCTTAGACAGACTTCGGTTTGCTGATATTCCCTTTTTTGACTTCATGTTTATTATTCATTAGGCTCAGAATTTTCCGAAGACAAATTTGTTGCTAAAGTCAAGATGGAGATTGTGGTGAGCAAGGACCAGGTATATACATACATAATCCAAAGAGTCATTTCTCACCATGTTCATTTCTAAATGATTATCCTGCCAAAGGTGGAATTCGTGATAGACAAGATGATTGAGGAAGCAAGGACCGGTGAGATTGGTGATGGCAAGATTTTCTGTAAGAACTCAAATACTTTACTCTCTGTAATACTGAAGTACTTTATTTTCTTTCGCTGAAATTTATGGCTTCGAACTAGCAGGTTAAGTACAAAACCTTTTTGATGAGAAGCTTTAGCCTAGTTTTGTTCTTTCGTGAAGGCAAAATGGTCGTGCCACCTAACATGTGATATGACATGGTGTGATGGGGAACAAGGATCAAATTCTCCATGTTTGTGATGGCATTTGGCAAAGATTTTTTTTTTGAATTGTCTGGGCTGATTACAAAGTAATATATGTTCAAAAATTTTCTTAACCTATTGACAGGACAAAGCTTCTCGAACCCGGGTCTTTTAGGGAGAAGACATTCCCTTGGCCACTCAACGTTATAATATTGATCGAATGCTGCATAATCTCAGCAGCATTTTGAATTCTCCCTGTTTATTCTTCTTTTTCTTCTTGTGTCCCAGGCATTAGCCACATATGAACGAATGAAATTGTTAGTAAAGAGTCCAAATGATCTGATTTTCATGCCTGTAAAGAATTTAAGCTGTTGGTTGTTGTTTAAACTAGCATCTTTAACTTCCGATCAAACTTCTGATGATGTTTGCTGCTTCTACAGTGATACCTGTAGCGGATGTTATAAGAGTTCGCACAGGTAACATTCTGATAACCATTCAGGATTTAATATGAATCATTTCTTCGCTTTAGCAACTACCATATCGAGGATGATGCCTCTTTAAGCAAGCCCTCAGTAATCGTAAACAATTTTTCAGGTGAGCGCGGAGATAAAGCTGAGAGGATGACCGGAGGCCGTGCTGATATGTCGGCCACTACCTTGACCTAAGTTATGATATCGATGCCGCTGATTAGTAGAGCATCCACTGCCTGCTGCTGCATGTTGTAGACATAGAGAAGCTTATGATAATACTTCCATTCTTCTGTATTAATATTTCCTGATGCTGAAATGAATAATTAAAAGAAAGGATTTAACCACCTTATCAGAATTCAGCTAATAAAATGGAATTGAATAAATAAGATGATAGTGCTGTTCTTTATCAGTTCTGAATAAGGTGGGTCAAATTATGTATTTGATCCCTCTATTAATTCAAACTTGGATTTAGTCTCTTTTTCTTTACTTTGACATAATTTAGTCTTTTATATAATGATATCAGTTAGGCCAAATAGTTACACAATTAATCACCCTGTTTAATTGATATAATAATAAATTTATAGGTTAAACTGGCTTTAATACTAAAAAAGTCGATAAATGTAGCGTTCGACATTAGTAGAATTTGTACATTATATGTTGATTTTTTTAGAATGAAGAATAAATGATATGATGTGTGAATGTTAAGGATTTACTTTGTTATTATGCTAATAAAAATATGTAAATATGATGAAAGATATTAAAAAACACTATTAATTATCTTTAATTGCTCACTTTCAAAATTGATAGGGAATAAGTTGTTCCCCAGTTATTGATAGGGACCAATATATCAAATTTTAAATTAAGAGGTACCTAAGAGAACTTTTCACCAAAAGTTTACTATTTATTCAAGTTTCTTTAGGGGTAAAAATCTCAAGAGGAAATCGACTACCGACCTTTTATTTACGAAAAGGACAACGATGCACAACGCGTGCATATAAAGCGTCGTGATAACGGCGTTATAAGGTAAAGAAGCTAATTAACTGGGGAACAATAAAAAATTGGGCAGACGGCGTTCCGTTAAACTAAGATTCTGTTTTGGATTTATAGATAGAATGACCAATCTCCAAATACGCGTAAAATCGGTGGAAGACAGCTCCTTCGATTTTGGGAGAGAGGTGTAGATCTTCGCTGCTCTCCTTTGATCGGCTTCGCGTAATAATCGACCTCCTTTCTTTCAGGCAAGTCTCTCCCTCTCTTATTAAAAGCTAAAGAATATTCTCATTTTCACATAATTTTCCCGATCTGTATTTTTTTATTTAGTATTATTTTAATTTTTGTTTAAATATATCGAGTTTTCAATCCTTTGTGTTGTTTCATCTGCTCTGATTCTTTGAAGCATTGTAAGTTCTTTTAATTGAGTCGATCTTCGTTTTTCGAATTGATTTCTTGCAGTATTTTGTTGGTATATAGATTTCCATGCGTTGATCTGGATTACTTTAGGTTCTGTTTGGTTTCTGATTGCCTCTCGAACCATCCTATGCTTGTTTTCACATACACCTGTTGGATCTGCTCTGATCTTGTACACTAATAATTGTTTTGATGATTTGATTTTCAAATAAATTGATGACAATCGGAACCGAAATGTTGATATCGGTGTTTGCAGACGTGAAAAATGGGACTGTCTTTCGGGAAGCTATTCAGCCGGCTTTTCGCCAAGAAAGAGATGCGCATACTGATGGTCGGACTTGATGCCGCTGGTAAAACCACAATTCTTTACAAGCTTAAGTTGGGAGAGATTGTCACTACCATTCCCACCATAGGTAAGACGCTGTTTCTGCCTTCGTAGTTTAACATTGAGCCTTCATTTGTTTAAAAGAAAATGGCTAATTATGATATATTCTTATTTTGTAGGCTTCAATGTTGAGACTGTGGAATACAAGAACATCAGTTTCACTGTTTGGGATGTTGGTGGCCAGGACAAGGTACCGTGTTTTAGTTTTCTTCAATTTTGATATTATTAACCGTAAAAAAATTGCATCATAAGGTTCTCAGATAGGTCATCTTCCGTTATTTTCTTTTTATTATAATATCTATGGATGAGAATGTGCTGCTCTCATAGATTCTATCAACTATATTTTTATAAACTGACTACTTGTAGTTTCCTGAAATGAGATGACATGAGCTGGATCTTCATTTAGTATAAGGTGGATGCTTAGCAGTCAAAATTGTACCTCCTGTTTTGTTATTTGTAGATCTTGTTTGTTCTTTTAGAATAATTAAAAAGTGCATATGGTGTTTGTTTATCTGTTTTAATCAATTGACTTGTTTGCTTTGATTTTCTACATAGATCCGACCATTGTGGAGGCATTACTTCCAAAACACACAAGGACTTATTTTTGTGGTTGACAGCAATGATCGTGATCGTGTGGTTGAAGCTAGAGATGAGTTGCACAGGATGTTGAATGAGGTATCTGAGCAGTAAAATTTCTTGTTAATGTTCCAATTATTGCAACGAACAGTCGTGAGGTTCTTGGACGGTAAGGGGTGGTTCTGCCGACATTTAACATACTTTTTCATTTGCATTGGCAGGATGAGTTGAGGGATGCTGTGCTGCTAGTTTTTGCAAACAAGCAAGATCTTCCAAATGCTATGAATGCTGCTGAAATCACTGACAAGCTTGGTCTGCATTCTCTTCGCCAGCGCCATTGGTAAGAAAAACAGGTCCCTGTGTCTTATATCTGACACAATCTAGTTGTGGTTATTGTATATCATACTCTATAATACATTTTGCAGGTACATCCAGAGCACATGTGCCACTTCCGGTGAAGGACTGTACGAGGGACTGGACTGGCTCTCCAACAACATTGCAAACAAGGTAAGCTTACACCGATAACCATATTATTTCCAAGCCTTTGGCTTCTTCAGTTTCTCCCAAGTCCTATTCTGACATTTTGTACACAATTTGCAGGCATAAACGGCATAATTGGGTTGTCAGTATCACCAATGCAGGACCCTTTTTGAGTCATACGGATGCCTAACCCTTAAAGTGTTTTTGTTTTATATTCTCGCAAAACATTGCTATTTGTTTCTTTTAGTACAAGAATAATTGATCTTTTCTCCTTGTGGTATTATCTTGAGATATAACTGCCAAAAAAGAAGGCTAGGACCACTCTTTCCTTGCGAAAGTTGGTGGTTACCTCGTTTCATTATTGTAATGTTAAATATATTTAGACACACACGGTATAACTTTTATTTGTTTTATGAATGCTTGTGCAATAGGTGCATAATGTCAACATTTCTTAATCATTAGAAGCTCATGCTAGGTGGTAGGGGCGGATGCACTCGGACCCTAAGGAACCAATTGCATACTTATTATATTGGATAAATTATTAAGTATAGTCCAATGCACTAAGGGAAGGAGGGGAAAAAATAGAAAAGTTTGCATGTTCACTTTATTGAAAAAAAGAGTATTGAAATTTTTGAATCACATTTTTTAATTTCTGGACTCGTAGTTGTTGGGTGGATTTGCCCAATTAATGGATTGTTGAAAAAACATAGTTGGTATACTATGAGAGTTTTTTAAGTTCGAATTCAAACACAAAGACGTGCCTAAATTATTAAAAGTTCAAAAGAATAAATCATTAAAAAATTACTAAAAGCAAACACATTATTAAAATTTATAAAAAAAAATATAAATATAACTACGAAATTATCAAAAGCTATAAATTATTAAAAACAAAATTCTAAAAAATGTATGAAGTACTAAAAAGATTGAATTCTTTCATAGAAAAATTCATTGATCTTCTCTCATCAAATAGTATTAGTCTATTGCTTTGCATTGAATATATTTCCAATGAAATCAATATTTAATAAGATCAATCTTATTTTATCTATTAATAGTTTTCGAAGTTCATTTTATAATATAAAAGGAGATCTGTTTATAAACTTATGAATATTATTTTGATGTGAACTCTTGGGCCATATTTTTAGTTATAGAAATAAACCTCAATAGATATTTACGCCTCAAGCAATTCATATCTGCTGCTCTCCTTCTACCTTTTCACATTCAGTACTACATAGTAAACAGGTGTTCACTATTCACAATCGTGGAAAATGCCTTTATTAATGAAAATCATTAATATTTTTGTAACCGAGTATTTAATATCATTACTCTTATTTTATATTTAGCTTTATATGGACTAAACAATTTCATTGGTTAAAGAGATTGTTGTTATTGTTAAGGGTCTTGGATTCAGGCACATTGTCTGTAAGGATATTTAAGCTAACATTGATAAGTGATTGAGAGTCTTTTGAATGGATATTACATTGTATTCATCCCAAATAAACAAAAAGTAAATAAATTTCTAAACACTTTATAACAATTTGTCAATATTCTTATTTTTAAAATTCTTTCAATATTTTCTTTCACATAATTTTGTTCTATATCACACTCAATTAATTCCATTAGCTTTCTATCTTAGTATTTTACCATCATCTAATTTCATGAGCTATTTTAGTATTTTACCAACTATCATCTATCGATGTGCTCAATATTATAAGATCCACTTCAATTTTTGCCTTCGTCCTCTACCCTTCGTTCCGTTTAACTTATTTTTAACATTCCTCTTTACTAAAGAATCGTCTACAATTAGAATGATTATTTGAGTTTTCAAACCCCAATAAAATAGTTTGCAAGGAAAATGTGGTGTTTGTATACATTAAATTTTCTCATCCGATACATTATATGATAGTACTAATTAACTTTTTGATACAATAGTCATAGTTTAAGAATATAAAACGATCTTAATTACCCATTTTCACCCTTTAAGGTTTATTGCATAATTACAACTCAAATCCTAGATAATTCCTCGCAAAAGCATGCAAATTGTCTTAGCTTAACAAATCCAATTTATCGTCGGTGGGACGAAGCTTGAAGAGATCAAGACGGCAATCCCCCAAGCGTGTGGAGTAGGCAGCCTTCTTGTACTCTCCCCAAGTAAACGACCTATAAAGCCTAGGATTTTGGGGTGACACAAACTGCAGCAGAGGCGATATGGTTCCGGTAAGAGGTGGTGCTCCGAAGTACATCATCGACATCCGTGAATCCCGAGACGAATTTGCCAATGCCCTATGCCTCGCACTCACAAATCTGTCATTCGTTAAAACCTGTCAAATATATATATAAAAAATCACTATAATCCGATTCAGATTGACTTAATTCGTATTTTGAAATTTTCGAGTTAAGTCATTTTGCTAGCAGCATGTAGGGTGGACATTACTATAATTATAAAAACTGACCCGCAAGGCGTCCCCTATGATCACGTAGAATTGGGTCGGGTCAGGA